ACACGCACACACACACATGAGCGTGCTTGGCTGCTGTGCGTGCATGTAATTTATTTTATTTGGCATTTATTTTTTATGCTCATGCCAAAGTCAAAAGCTTTCTATGCAAATATGTATCTACGGCATATGCCAAAAAGTGCTTCGGCTTTTGTATCTTTTGTGGGCGTGGTATCTGAGACAGTTCTCAGTCCGTTTGCCGCTTGCCGCTTGCCGCTTGCTTGCCATTTGTTGTTTCTTGTTTGCCGTTTGTCGTTTGTCGTTTGACTGCTGCTCAGCCAGGGCTTATTAGCCTGTTTGTTTTTGTGTTTTGTCCTGTCTCGGTTTGTGCCTGTCGAGCAGCTGCAGCTGACCTCAAGCTCCGACCTGGCAGGGGCTTACGCTTGTCTCTTGGTTTCGCTTAACATGCAGCATATATAAATGTATGCATATACATATATATTTTTATGCAATATGCATGAGACCGTGTGTTTCCCTTTTGCATCTCATCAAAGCTGCAAATTTGATAAATCTTTCGTTTTCTATTTTATTTGCTTAAAATGTAAATGCCACTTGCAACAAAGGCAAAAACTTTTGACATACAAAATATATATTACATCAAATATAAATTACAAAAGTATTTTTTTTTTTTTTTTCTTTCTTGATTTAGCGTTGCAGCCTCGAGCATATTTTGAATGTATCAAATATGATATTGGACGGGAAATTCGTTATATTTATGTAGTTTTCAAAGAGTTACAGCTACAAAAATATACGGAAATTCATTTATTAACATACTTTTATATTTACAATATATTTGTATAACATTTGTTATGTTAAATTAAAATGAATTTCGCAAATTAAATTTATTCGACCAGAAACTTGAGTACTTTCAGTACTAAAACAAACTCATATGAAAATATTTCTCATGCAATAAATTCAATCCTTTTTTTAAACATATATTTACATCATATTTGTGATTCATATTATATTAAATGCAATTAAAAATTTTATCTGAACACAAAGTTCTGTATGCTCGCATTAAAAATCTAAGGGAAAACCTGGTTCATGCAATAAATTGTACAAATTTAATTTATTTTTTCTAAGATTTTTATCTGAGTGTTTGCCCTGAGATTTTCGTTTTCCGCTTGCCTTAACTGCAATACAATTAAGACCAGTTTCTTTGAGATGTGGATGCTCTCTATGTTTTTTCCGATTCCTTATATAAAAAAATTCCTTGCATTTTGCCAGATGAAAATGTAGCAAAAATGTCTCATGAATAAATGCATTTGCGGGCAGTCTTTTTACGGTCAACTCCTGGCACACACACACATACACACACACATACGCACAGGGAACTGTGCGCATGTGTGTGCAAATCCTTAGCAAATATGGTAAAAGTCAGGGATTAGAGTGAAGCATTTGAAGCAGATGCAAGCTTTCAGCTTTTGTTAATATTTTACAATGCTTTTAGGTTCGAAAGATATATGAGGTTTCACACGTACCTTGCAGTACGGCTAGAACTAACGTTAAATAAACGCTGGCATATATGGTAGTAGTACCTGCTGCTGCTCATATATTGCAGTAGTTCCTGGAATTTTGTATCTTCAGGTATCCGAGAGCGTACACAAAGTTGGAGAGTTGGCAAAATATTTGCACTACGAAATGACAAATTAATTGTGAAAATGTAGCGCTTGGCGCTTTTAAAGCTGAAGTGCAAACAAATTTTTCGGTGCAAACAAAATTGCAGAGACGCTCGTCCGCCAGCTCCTGGTCCAAGAATTTCAGGGTCTGCCATACCGCCAGCCGTTTTACGGCGGCTGGCAAATTAAATTCCTTGCCGTGGACAACTTGCTGGGCAGGGCAGGGCTGGGTAGGGCATGGCTGGGACGCAACATGAGCGCAAAGTAAACAAAGATGTACGACAAATGCAATAACAACAGCAACAACTGCCGCAGCAGCAGCAGCTACTATCACTATTACAACAAAGAGTGGCTGTTGACTAGGAGCTGAGCGAGGTAAAACATGGACAACAACTACCACAACAACAGCAACAACAACAGCAGCAATAAGAACAACAATTGCCAGTTACATGCCACGTTGAACTCATAAAAAGAGCTTTTACTTCATTTGGACGAAGTGAATACGCTGTTGTCCTGGCTGCGTCCTGATTGAGCACCAGGAAGATAGTTTGTTGCAGCACAGAGGTAAGCTAGAGCTTGACTAGGGTTCGTTTAGCTCATGATGCCAGAGACACACAGCGACAATTTGTATTCCGTTGGCGCGACTGTTTCATACTCTATTTCGAAAGTCGAACTATTCATGAATTCACACTGCGTATACGTAATGCAGGCACTTGAATTCTCTTGTATTACGGAGTTGGCCATTCAGGACAATTCATATAACTGTATTACATGGCTGACCATTGAACCTTGATGATTTTTATATTCGAAAACATTTCACAATTATTTGCTCAGCTCAGCTGCTGCCTGTTTGTTTATTTGTTCAACTCAAACAGGCAGAAGTAACAAATGTTTTTTACAAATAAAACAGAATTAACTACAAAATGTTCAATGCAATGAGAAGGCAGTCAAGTTTCAAATAAATTCTGCTTTTAATCCAGGGGATTTGAAGTGTTTAAGTTAATTCCTCGACTTACCTCGAAATGCTGTAAAATATTGTTATTGGTATTTGCCTGTTTGACAGCTGGATTTTCCACTTTTTGCTGTTGTATTATTGCATTGCCGTCTGCAAATAGATATAAACATAAACAATAATTAAAACCAATTTCAGGCTGTTGAATTGCAAACTCATTAAATCAAAGCCAAGCAAATAGATGTCAATGAGTTAACTTTGAGACCCATTTAAATACAATATTTTGCATGAAATGTAAATCTCCATTACATCTATATTGCCATGTACTTTGTATACCCTGCAGTTGAGTGAGGCGTGGGGTATGCTGCGACAATTTCCATGAATTTGAGAATTTTTGATAATGTAAACATAAAATATTTATTTTATATTTGTAAACTGTTTGCATTTGGCATGCTGTTCCAAGTATAGGATATTGCCAGGCCACGCAGTCAGCCTTTATTTAGCCTATGTTGTGATTATTCTCATTTTGAAAATGCAAAATCAGCTATGCGTAACCAGAGCAAACTGTTCAGATATCAGCTCAGCTTGTTGTTTTTCCTTCCTATTTATAGTTTGTTTTCAGAGCGAACGGGCGCGGGTGGAGCTCCACTTTTTTTGCTGTTGTTGCTGTTGCTGCAGCCCCATGTAAGGAATTCAAATGGAAATGGAGAGTGGAAAAAGTCGTTTTGTATAAATATTAATGAAGTAGGCCATAGAAGTGCGAGGCGTTCTATTGAGTGGGTCGTTGCTCGTTGTTCGATGCCATTGAATGGGGCATTTTGTAACAAGAAATTCTGGCCTATTTACGGGCTACAGCCTCTCAGTCCACTCTCCCTCTCTCTCTCTCTCTCTCTCTCTCTCTCTCTCAGTCTGTCTCTGTCGCCTCCCAGTCTCGGGGTCTCGGTTTGTGAGCTTTGCTGTTATTGGAACTTGACTCTTGTTTGTGCTCGCATATATATTGCTCTGCTGCTGGCTGTTGTTGTTGCTCTCATTGTTGTCGTTGTTTATTTGCATAAGAGCCCAATAAGCAACGCATAATGGAACCAGAAACGAGCTCGAATTTTCTCTTTAGCTCGTTATTAGTGGCTGCCGGGGCCAGCCAGCTCCACGCATCAGCGCTCCAAACATGATGCAGCAAATGGCGTGTGTACTAAATGCGTAATTACTGGACCAGTTCAGACTTGTATCCATGTTCGGGTCTAGCAAATGGCGCTTGTAATGATAATGCCGCCATCAAGCGCTGGCTGGCTGCAGAGTATCGACAACGTAGTATAGTACAGTAAATTCCAGAGCTTATATAGAGCACATATTGTATTCCTAATCAAAGCGAAATCTTATTAGAGCATCCACTACAATTTCTTTGTGCAATTAGAGTTTCTTTTCTCACTCGAGGTCATTTGCAATATTTCTAATTGCAAATGACATTTGGCTGCGAGGGCAGACGCAACCTGATTGCACAGTCAAAGCTCATCAAGAGGAATGCTGCAGCATGCAGTTAACGGCAATACAAATTCGTGTGGCTAAATATCCACTCAACACTAATTCACACACACACACAGATAAGAGCCCCGATTAGAGCGACAAGACACAGCCCGATGTCGTAGTAGTCCATTAAAATCCACTCAAGTGCACTTAAACGCTTCCGAGTGCTTGGCAGCACTGCAATGGCATAAAATACCAAATTCGAGTTGACTAAGACTCGAGTTGTCAAGCCTTTGCTCTCATTCACTCTCTTAATCGGTCGGCCATGCATACGCCGATTAAATCCGATCTAAGTGCTTAAGCATGCTATTATAAAGTTATGCCGGGCAGCCAGCAGGAGAATAAGCCAACTTGCGTCGGGCTGAGTATGCAAGTTGAGGCTGCCAGTGGTATGTGAAGCAATCACGTTGCTTGCCATCTGAAATGACCTGCTACTCAAGGAAACTTGAACTGTAATAGTCCAGAAATGGCATAATATATATCAAACTTGAACTGAATGAGGACCTTAGTCAGCTAATGAGAACTATTTTGGCTTACGAGAGTTGATCACCTTGGCCAGACAAGCATAAATGATGTAAGTTAGCACAGCATAACAGGAATCACATTGTTTTTATATAAACAAGCCTTGACTTTGTTATTCAAGAATATGATATTGATATGTCAAGCAAATCAATTATGGACTCAGTCACAGATGTATAACCAACTCTAGAAAAGCAACTACTTTTATTTATTTTCGCTAAATCTTAATGCAAATCAGCATTAGCATAAATACATTTTCTACTCAAAGAAACTCTCTTATTTGAATAGAATGTCAATGAGAATGAATTTCTGTTGTTCATCTCTTCTTACTTGCGATGCCTCATCATCATCATGGATATGCTATAGATGAGCTTAGTCAACTGCAATGAAGTCAAATATTAAGTTTAGCTAATCGATTACCAAAATAAATCCAACTCGCTTGCCTGCAGTGCCGTTCTCAGGCTGAGCGGCACTAGGCCGAGCAGTACGATGATTTTCATGTTCTGCGCCCGCTGCAGCATCATCCTATATAATTTGCGCTGATCGCAGTTTAGCTCGTGCCAGCTCAGACAGGTAACGGTCTGGTACACCTGGTCGTACTGCAAAATGTCAAATGTCAATTAGCTCGGGCACGGGCAAAGACTCTGTGGAAAACTGACAGCGAATTCGATTTGGGTGCCCACAATGCAGTAGACAGACATCGAATAGGCGCTAACCAGGAAGAAGATGGCCGAGATCAGGTCAAACTCATTCAGGTTCACGCACAGGCAAATCACAATCGAGACCGAGGCGGACAACACCTGAGCGGCGATCAGATTATCATAGATCTTCTCGACCAGCTCGCAGTAGCTGAAACTCATCGTATATAAGCAGAAGTTTCGTAAGTAGCTGAACCATCTGACTCACTCAACGAATAGCTGATGCCAGTCGATCAAGTCCATGAGCAGCGCTTGTATGTTGAAGTCTTCATACTGGCCGACGCTGCAGACATATCTGGACTGCTCCTTGCGCTCGAGTGCGTCGTTCAATGCAGTCGCCTTCAGCTGGAAAATGTCGGCATAGGTCCGGATCTGGATGAGGGCGAGCAGCACCAGCATGTCGCCCAAATAGAAGCCAATGCCACCCACCACCTCCGGTACCGTGTGCTGCAGATACGTGAGCCAGTAGCCGATATTCGAGTCGATGGACAGGCCCGGTATCTGATACGGCATGACGGTGATGCGTATGCCCTTGCAGAGGAGCAGCACCAGGGGCGTCAGCAGCATTATGAGAAACGTGATCGAATAGCCGACGTAAATGATGCGCTTGATTTTGTACACCCGATCGATGCCGAAGTTGAGGGCGTGGATGAAGTCGACGCCGCGCTGCTCGTACTCCTCGCATATCTGGATAATGAAATAGAACAGATCCCTGATGGGCGCATGCCTGAGCAGTGTGGTGAGCAGCTTGGCCGAACCGCTCACGAGGCCGCCGAGCATAATGAAGGACTTGATGCCATCCATCCAGCTCCGGCGCGCCTCCATGAAGCCCCAGTAGACGCCAAAGACGGTATAGGTGAACGGCGCCGATATTGTGACCCAGGTGCGAAAGATGTACTCCTTCTTCGCCGTCAGCATATCCAATCCCAGCTGCTGGGCCACGGCGTTCATGTGCTGCACCAATCCATGCATGCGCAGCGAGGGCTTCATGCTGACTCTTTGCCGGCCGAGCCATCGCCATTGCCTTTTATAGCCCGAGAATGCTAATTGCTGTTGCGCTGGTCTTGCAATAATTACTTAATAATGTTGTCATTGATTTTGTAATTACTGCAAATATGTGTAATTGCAATT